CCCAGCATTAATATTTGTTCAGTTAATTTCTCTTCCTTAATCAATTGTTTTCCGTCCACACTCCATGATCACCAGCAAACGTTGTTTCAGTAGGCTTGAGGTGCTGTTGGTTATCACTGCCCTCCCTTTTCTAACCCCACAAAATCTTGGCTTGTGCTTGTCTACAAAATAGATGTTCACTTGTCAATGCGGTCATGGCATGGAAAAGGATTAGCTACTGAAAATTAGGCTCTGAAGTGTTGTCTTCTGACTGTAAACAGGTTGTCTAGGGAAATGGTATCCTCAGCAACCTCTGGTGCCCTGGAAATGGATGCTGGCCCATTTCTGCAGGTGGCCACTCCTCTGGACATCTTCCAGATCCGTGCTGTTGTGGGCTGGATGTGGGGCACTCGCTGTTCCAATTTCACTCAAAAAGAGAAAAGTTGAGAAAGAGCAGCTCTTTCCCAATCTAGTTCTGAGGGCTAAGTTCTTACCCTTAGCAAACCATTAGCAGACCAAGCTCCCTGAGAAAGGGTGCAGGTGGGCCATTCAGGGCAGCTCAGCCTGGCCTTGTCCCCAGGGCTGACCATGGCTGAAGTCCATAGGTCATTAAAGGAGAGTCTTGAGAAATGAACTTACCTGCAAAAACCTGGGGAAAAGACGGCTTTTATCAATGCCCATGAGGATGTGTAGGATCTCTAATATAGATAACAACTGGCAAAGGCGCATTACGAATCCTATGGAGTAAAATGTGTCGGCCAAAGAATCTACAGAAAGAGCGCAGAGGAAAATTAGAGGGTGATTATATAGTAGAAGTCTAGGACAACCACTGGATTTGCCCTTACCCTGTCACCACTGGAGATGGCAAGAAATAATATTCACACAGTACCATATGTTTGGGTCTCAGAAGCAAAGCTTTGGGGAGGAGATAGTCCACTCAGTGTGTGTGGCTCTGACACAGGGACAAGAAGATGACAAACGAATAGGATCTCCTGCACTCAATGCACTGGCAAACACTTTGCAGGATGTATTGGTTTAGAGATATCACTTTAGGATATTTCTAAATATAGGAAATGTTGAGGAAATGTATAAGGGATGTAACGATGAGAATATGGTGAGAAGTTGAGTTCCTGCCTGTATCTATACCCATGACATTTCCTAAAACAAACAGACCACATGGTAGGTATTTTCTGTGCCTAAAACTGTCCACCATTAAAATTTTAAATTTCCAGTCACTTATTTTCTGTTTTTGTGCCTTAACCCCAGGCAACAGAAAGAGAAATATGTTGTAATGCTTTTGGAGATAGAGAGTCATGTGCAATAACCACAAAGATACTCCCTCCTAGTGGCTTCACTAAGATTAATATTCACCATAATGACTGGATCTGGTCACATTTCGGTCTATGTCTAAGTCAAATTTTACTTACATGCTGCTGAATATTTGCTCATTAGGTAAACAAGAGCTTCATTCCTGATGTGATACAAGCAGAATGTAGCTACCAGTAATTTGTTCATCCTTTTTAATGAATCACTTTGAAAAATCATCTAGTCCAATCCCCTCCCACCAAAGCAGGATCACCTACAGTAGGTCACACAGGAACGTGTCCAGGTGAGTTTTGAATGTCTCCAAAGAAGGAGACTCCACAACCTCTCTGAGCAGACTGTTCCAGTGCTCTGTCACCTTCACAGTGAAAAAGATTTTTCTTATGTTTACATGGAACCTCCAGCTTGCACCCATTGCCCGTTGCCTTTCTAATTGAAATTAACAGCCCCTGGTACACCTATTCAGAATCCTAACTTTATCTCTAATTTGATGTTTCTGTGTGTCACTGCCTTTTAAAATGTTTAAGGAAAATACAGAAGGTATCCTACCTTTTCCAAACGACATGAACCTGATCATCATATTTGTAAATATCCAGGAATGTCCACAGAATTGTGTTAAGTCATACACAAAGAGGTAAGTGTTCATGGTAGAGCTGTGGAGATGAAAATGATAAAGCAAACTGTATGACTTATGACAGCATTCGAGCTTTCCAACATGAAGTTGTACCATTTGAAGATGTTAGTGGATCAAAGGAAAACAGCTAAAATGCAAACAGATTAGTGAAAATTGCCTCTATCTCTCCGTGGCCACAGAACAGCATTCTCCCTAATGGATCAAAGGCTCACTTTCCTGGTATTCCTAGCATACGCTTAGAAAGAATTCCTGACTTTCCACCAGTGATTACAGGGTTCTGCAGCAGTACAGTGAAGTTTGTGCCTCCAAAAGAAAAAGTAACTAAACAAAGACACTCCACTGAGTCCTGGAGTCAAGCCTGAGCCCCTTGGCTCTGCCTGGGCAGTGTAACCAGACTCAGGAGGCTTCTGGGGTTGCACCACTGCAGATCTGCTGAGGACCTTGAGCTCCCACAGATAAGAGTCTTGGGATTTTCTGAGTGAGGTTTATCCTGTTATTTCCAGAAGATATGGGTCTAGCATGCACTCAGGATGGCTGAAAGTACAATGCAAATAATTTCCAGTGTTTTCAGAAGACAGCATAGTTGCAAATATTTATAAAAATGCAGGTGAAAAAAAATGGAAAAGAAGACCATGTTTCAATCGGTTTTTATCTGATGCAGTCTGAAGGATACCTGTGTTTTCCTTGTTTAACCAACTTGCTCTACAGGTTTTCCAGATAAACAGTAAGTTAGAGTGTTTGTCTTGCTGTACAAACTATGTTTAAAATTGCATTTAATAAAGTGAAACTTCTCCTGTTGGAGCAGACTAACTTTTGTAGCTATTCTAACCTGATTTGCACAGGTAATCTGACCTTTGCAAAATTGCAAAGGCTCTGGAGGTACTTAATTTCCCTTTCCCATAGACGTGCTTTCTTCTGACTTACTCTGGAGAGAGAGGCTTCCCTGTCCTCCAGCTATGAAAAGGACTGCCTACCTTTTTTGGTAGAATTATCTCCTCTGTTTGACCAATTAACTTCATGCCCCAATAAATAGTAAGATCTCTTTAAATTACCCCTTGATCCATGTGTACATGTGGTAAGTCTCTGCCAACAAACGTTATTTCATTTGTATCTATACATCAAGAAACACAATAAATCTCTGTGTTTAGAAATATCTAAATATGATAAATGCATATACTTCATTCTCAGCATTGGACCAAGACCATAAATAACAGTAAACACTTTTGTAAATCAATATAGATAAACTACTCTTCTAAAAATTTATTTGATGTATGTCCTAGGGAGGTCATAGAAAATGCCATTGTTCCTCTCTTCCTCTTATGTAGGATGGCTGCTATTCATATCTTCACTTCCATAAGCACAGAAAGATTTTCTGGCATAATTTACCTCCCAAAAGACATCAGTGCCCTTTGATATTATGAAAATAAGACATATGAGGACCCACACAAAGGAATATATTCCATAAACATTCATTTAGGGAAAAGTATGATACAACTGAATTGCAATAAAATTCAGTGAGGTCTATAAATCCCATCTGCTTTATTACTGAATGACACTTCGTTCATTCTTCTAGTAAGAAAAAAAGATGGGACACTGTACATGACAAAAAGGCCTTATTCCTGAATGGATAGGAATTGACGTAATGAGTGTGAAAGTTAAAGAAACTGTTATAAAAATCATGAGGCTTTCCAGTCAGTGCCTGCACCAGTCTGTTTGGTCTGGTATTGCCATGTGGGCTTTGCACGAGACGTAAGCTGAGCGTATGGTTTCTCTCTTCTTTGGAAGTTTAGTTTGCTCCATCTGTCTCTCATCCTCAGAATTTGTCTTTCTGTGTTTGGGGCTTATTTTCCAAATTCCTCCTTCACTGGCTGGCTAGGAAATTGTTGTCTTTACAATTTTTAAACTGATGAATCTTGGCTAAACAGCGCGTAACCAAGAGAAGATTTGTAAATGCAGCTTCATGCTAGCATTTTGGCAATACGGCAGCTGCTGCATGTTAGAACTCATCACAGAATCACAATCACAGAAAGGTAGGAATTGGAATGGACCTCAAAAGATCATCTAGTGCAACCCCCCCATCAGAGCAGGATCACCTACAGTAGATTGCATAGGAACACATTCAGGCAGGTTTTGAACGTCTCCAGAGAAGGAGACTCCACAACCTCCCTGGGCAGCCTGTGCCAGTGCTCTGTCACCCTCACAGGGAAAAAGTTTTTCCCAACGTTTTTGTGGAACCTCCTGTGCTCCAGCTTGTATCTGTTGCCTCTTGTCCTGTCTTTGGACATCCCTGAGAAGAGCCTGGCTCTGTCCTTCTGACACTCTTCCTTTACATAACCATTAATGAGGTCACCCTTCAGCCTCCTCTTCTCCAAGCTAAAGAGACCCAGCTCCTTCAGCCTTTCCTCATAAGGGAGATGTTCCACTCCCTTCATCATCTTTGTGGCTCTGCGCTGGACTCTCTCAAGCAGTTCCCTGTCTCTCTTGAACTGAGTGGCGCAGAACCAGACACGATGTTTCAGATGCAGCCTTGCCAGGGTGGAGTAGAGGGAGAGGAGAACCTTCTCAACCTACCAGCCAGCCCCCTTCTAACACACCCCAGGATGCCACTGGCCTTCTTGGCCACGAGGGCACATTGCTGGCTCATGGTCATCCTGCTGTCCACCAGAACCCCCAGGTCCCTTTCCTCTATTATATTTAAAACGCATTGGTGACAACTGAAAGGTATACATTCTGTCCACATTTATGGAGGGCCTCATGCTCTCTGGGAAGCGTGGAGCTCTGCTGGTGGGCAGCATGCCCATGTGACCAGAAGGACTGGTCCCGGCCCCAGAGCTGTTGAGTCCCACAGCACAACGCCCTCATTTGTTGATGCTCTACACTGTGTGGAGGAACAGCCCTGATCTCAAAGTAAGGTTTCACTGTGTTAATACCTGTACAAAACATATCTAGGACCGAACGGTAGCCCTTGAGAGAACTGAAGAAATCGGCAGAAAATAAAAGATTATTTCAATGTAATCAAAAGAAAATGAAATGTAGCGAAAGTCTTTCCATCCACAGGCTGATCTCTTTTTTTATAAGTAGAAGCAGGCTGATGATTGATAATCTATTTCACTGTCCTAACACTTTAGCGTCATAACACAAAATTCAGCCACCTGCTCCTGTTTGAAATGTCACTGGCAGAAGAGAAGGCTTTTAATTAGATATCCTGCTCCCCTTGGTTCACAGCAGGCATAATTTCACCTTTACCTCATAAAGCCTGCTCCTGCAGCACCCTTGCAGACGAAGTACTGACCAGCTGTTCAGTTCCTGACTCTGCTCCCTTACGAATCTCACTTAGTATTCCTCATGCCTGGTTTGTAAAATGGATTTGCTGCTGCATTTATTCCTTACAGTGTGATGTGCTCTAACACTTTGAAATTTCTTTCATTTGAAAGCATTAGGGGAGAACTGCGCATTTCAGTACTCTACCTGCATTGATGACAGGAGACAGAAGCAGACATGGGTCTAGAGTAGAGAGACCCAGAAGGCTGGGCTTGCTGTCTGTTGTTTTAATTGTTGGTTTCACATTACTCACTGTGGCTGATTTCATTCCGAATACATTGAAATGCTATGGATGCATTTATCATATTTAGAACAACCTGGCCTAGGGGAAAACTGTATCTGCTTTCTTTCAGGGCTCTAAAACCTAGGAAAGTATATGTAATATAAGACCACTCAGAACCAGCACACAGAGCAGCATGGTCCCAGATATCCTCTTTTACCTTCTGTTCATCAGTTTTAGCTTGCAAAGCCTGACTTACTTCCACACAC